TATTTTGTTCTGCTATCAAATCAGCTGCTAATAACTTTGAGCGCTAGACTGCATGTGATGAGCTCACCTGCCTTAAAGAGAAACTGACCTGCCCTGCAGTCACGCGTTCCTGTCGAACTGATGTTTCTTTGTAGGCAATACTTCAAGGCTATAAATCAGGCAGTCGGTCCCTTAAGTGCCTTGGCCACAAAGAAAGTAAAAAAGTCGTCAAGATAACGTGAAAATATTAGAAAGGGCTGTTGCCTTCCTCCTTATAGCATTTTGAGCTCCTGCAGCTTCTGTTAAAGGGCCAGTGTGTAATATTTCTGAGGATCTATTGACAGAAACGCAATATAATATAGTCTCTTTTCATTCAACTAACACTGTAAATTTCCAGCTAGCTTTTATTCTTTTCACATGTTTATTTACAGCAATAACGTTGAAATGTCTATTGTAACAGGCTGTATATTAACTTATTGGGAGAAAACTGGTAGTTCAATGTAAAATCAGACGTTGAGCTCCCCCATATCGTCAAAATGGCGTGATCCTTGTTTCATTGCGAAGCTTCAACTGTTAGACAGCCGAATCAGGCTCCGCCCATCGAATATTCGACTATTCAGGGTCAGCCCTACTACATACACCGCGGGTCCTCTTACATGGAAGTCGCTACGCTGCGCCGCCATTTTTCTACAGCAGCCGACAACAAACAACGCTACAGAATGAGTTTTGTCACTATGTTGAATCTGTACAAAGAAGAACAAGAAATGTTAGTAGTATTAGTTTGTTAGGAGTAAGAAGAGAAGTGAAATTTGGACAAATGGAGGACCACAGGTATTATTTAACACGAGCCGACAGAGCGTGTCGGCCACCGCGGCTTCTCCTGCTCGCTTGCAAAGGGAGGGATGAGCGGTGACTGATGCATTCATGTGGTTTGGGAATAATCAGAATCATTTATTAAAATACTTGTTTTTAAAAAGCAGAATTTTCCCACATCAATGCAGAATCTTCATAAAAATGGTTAAAGGTGAATCTGCTGAAGTTAAGTCGAGAGAAAACTTGTTGACGTCACACACGTAGAAACATGGCCGACAACAAGGTTGATGGTTAGAAACTTTGTATATGTGCAAAATCATTGCATATACATATTTTGCAAACATGTAATATGGTTATAACGGTTAGTTTGCGGTCCATGTAGAGTGAACTAGATATCTGCGTGTTTATACGCTCTGATAATGTTAATCCAGCACATCTTTATAGTAGCGTCCATGTTGATTCCACATTCAGACTTCAGAGCACATCAACACACACTGAAGTCAGAAGAACGACTTCACATCTCAGGAAATGGGAACATCCGAGGAGCATGTGAATGCACCGTGAGCCGTCACCACTAGATGCCACTAAAACTTGCACACTAAACCTTAAGTCTGTGAGCGTTCAGGGCTTTATTAAATTAAATTCAGACAACTTTATTTATCCCTGTAGGGCAATTCAGTTTTAGCCTGCCAGTCGTATTAAACAAGACAAAGACAACAATCAATGAAGCATTCAGAAACCAGAACAAAGCAGCGAATACACAGGTCACAATACATGGACCAAGCAGTGACCATGATTCAAGAAGATAAATACATAAATGGATAATAAATACTAAGTAAATACAGAGGTTTACAATGCAAGCAGTATTTAAAAGCCTGATGGCAGAACAAATAAAATAATTTGCATATCTATTAGTTTTCCTTGGGAGGGCGAGGTAGCGCCGTCCTGAGGGCATTAAACTGAATTCCTGACTAAGAACGTGGTCAGAATGACTCATGGAGTCAAACATGGTTCCTAAGTACTTTATACGTCTCGACAGATTCAACATTTTCTTGCAGCATGTTTCTTGTTTTTACATTTTACTGAATAACTTTTCTGTGGTGAAGATGACTTGGAGATTTATTTATTTTTTAGTGTGACCAGTTACCCAGCAACACATTTGTACGTCAATTTACGTGCAGAACAGGTTTTACTATATGATAGTATTCATACTTCTATTTAAATACATGCAAATATGCTTTATGGTGCCTTTTAGGTTGTTGTTGTTTAGCATTTACTATGTGTGCTTCCATAGGAGCTGCCATTGTTGTGTGACGTCATTCAGCTGCTCCTGAAGTCGGAACTTTTTTTTTTTTTTTTCTCCGAGTTCACGAGTAGGAAATCCGACTTCAGGTGGCGTTCCATGTTGGCCTACTTTTTAAAAACTTTTGAGTTGCCCGGAACGGAGCATAACTGTCGATGATCAAGTTGCATTGTGGGTGATGTAGGCGCCTGATTTTTCCAAAGTAATTCCAGTGAGTTTGTTGGTCTTTAGCTGCAGCCAGTCAAAGACAATCAATGCATTCAAAGCAGACCTGTAATTCCAGCTTTGCCTTTGCTTCACTTTCTGCCTTTAAGTCTGGAGAAGATGAACCAGACAGGAATCAGAATCCCACAGCTGCACGGGGGACAGAGGGACAGTCGCACTTTAATGTGGTGCAGCAACCTTTATTCTTTGCACTATTTATGTTTAAAATGCTCAGGAAGAGTTTTATATATATATTTTTTTGTATTTGCCATTTGTAATAATTCTAGTTAAGTGTAGCTGCTGATTAACCGACCATTTATTTCAGGCTTGATACAAATACAGTATAAAGTTTTGTGGTATTTCTTCTGTGAGGTTTGTGTCATATTCTCTGAACTACTATTATTCGGGGAGACCGGGTATGGTTGTAACATGGGAAGATCCTCTATACATAAAACTAGGGACTTTCTTGATTTTAATATTTTACAGAGTGCCCTTTGCAGTCTGGGCTCACCAAGCCTGCACTCCAGGGTAGTTGCTGAAGCAAAAAGGGTTACAACCATACCCGGTCTCCCCTACTACTACTGTACTTTTAGTTTTGTCTAAATTAATAAATTATGTTTTATATTTTGACTTCATGGAGTTGTGCTGTTTGTCAAGGGACCCAGAAAAATAGATGATCTTTGTTTTCAGTTTCTGAGGGCGCTGCAACGCCATCAGTGCTCTTTTACTCTAGTGGTGGAAGAAGTACTACCACTCTGCAAAAGTACTCTGTTACAAGTAAAAGTTACAAACCGCAGCATTTACTTACAATTAAAGTACTGTTTGGGCAGAGTCGCCCCTCTGAGAGAGTTACATCGATGCATTGACACACAGCTGGTTGAGGTGGAGCTCATTTTTACAACATTATACACTGTTGGGTTCTTTAATCTACAACAAAATGTCACTTTATCATTTAATCATACATTTTATGTACAATCATAATCTGCAAAGTATTAAAGCTGTGTTGCAGTAAAAAAAGTACATTATAAGTATTAAGTAGCATAAAACGTAAAATACTCAAGTAAATTGCAAGTATCTTAAAATTGTACTTAAGTACTTGAGTAAATGTACATTCCACCATTTAAATATTGAAGGTGATACTAATGTGAGCAACCTTTGATATGAGTTCTTTATCTTGATCAGTCTTTTAATACTGAGAATCTACCGACTATTTCCATTGAAAGAATACAATCCAAAAACATTGAATAAGTATATTCGTGTACTGTAAATAAGTACTTTCTTTGAGTCAGTTCTTTCAATGGTGCCAAACTACTTCAGTAGCCGACATCCCAGTTCAATATTGTATTGTATAATATATACTGTATACAAGATTTTTTAAACAAAACACATGAAGAATTTATTTAAAAAAATATGTTGTTGGAAACTGCCACCTTTTTCCAGGAAAAACGCCTAAAATTACAAACCTAAAATGAATCAGGAATAACTCCTCAACCATTTGGCCTAGATGCATAATTCTGGTCTCTTTGAATATAAATCCATTTTAAATAAACATGTTTTACCATTGCAGACTAAATGGAGATGCCATGAGGAAAAATTTGATATTTTCATCCTCGCCTGGTGAAAAAGTTAAATTTTCAATGCAAAAAATCAACTGAATATCTTCCAATACACCTGAAATGCAATTGTAACTGTAAATTTGATGAAAATACACTAAAATACAACAGTTATTGTACAGTTTTGTTTTAATTATACCAGGCAAATGTCTATGTTTTGGCCACATTTACCGTTTAAACGTTGACTTTTATTGGGAGTTTTCTTTAAAACACTATTTCTGTCCATACATCCACGTTCCAAATAAGGTAAAGCTTCCACAACATTGAAATATTGATCAAAACATTGAGAAATCACTTGATTTTTGGTCTAAGTCAGCGGTTGTTTATTGTATATGTATATTGGCACGTTTGTTGTTACTTCTGTAAACAAGGGTTAGGTATATACAGACGGATCCAAGGATCCTAATACTGGGAGAACAGGTTTTGCTTTTTGTATACCAGCTTTACACATTTCTGTTAAAAGGACATCAGATCATTTATCTGTACAGACTAGAAGATGGCAATTGCAACAGCTTTACAGACGATAGAAATTAATTAAAGTTTTGCTTTTTACTGATTCGTGCTCTGCATTAATGTCTCTGTAGTCATTTCCAACTCATAGCAGGCAAAACTGAAAACAAAAGAGATTTATGAAACGCTGGACAGAACAAGACACGGGTGAGGGTAATAAGACTTATTAAAACAGTACTTAATAAACAAGCCCCCTACAGGGTAATGTGAACACTGTCAATTACAGGAATCAGAACATGTCATTCTTCACCATTTCAAGAACTAGAAACATTAAGGAGGGAAACCAGGAAGCTTGGACAGGAAGAATTGAGATTAAGGAAGCAATTCCTTTATTTGCAAGAAACTGGGTTGATCAATAGAATTTAATGAGCAGGTATAGAGACCTCTGGTCCACACTCCAACATAGTAGGTCACGGTAATGCACCTTAACGCTGCTTGCCAGTCGCTATAAAACGTAAATAAATGTTTATAAAGAAGGAAAAAAACTATTTATTAGTTTGGGTAGGGATAGTTAAATTTTGCCTCTCGCCAGTTGTCCGGGCGTGGAGGTGTTCATCTTGACCGAACAAAGCATCTTTGAGGCGACGACGGCGTCATCTCGCGAGACTTTGCCGACGTCACGGGATAATGGCTGGAGATCGCGGATATTAGAAGGTACTTTTACTGCTTTTATTTACTTTGCGCTGGATTAAAATAATGCATTTACTCCAACAAGTTTCTATAACGGACGACGTGTTTCCTCGACGCGTCGCTGAAATAAGCGTTTGTAACAGTTTGCGGCCACTTAACGGCCGACACCGCCGGTACAAACCGTCAAACCTTCGAAATAAGAGCACAATGTTTTCCGCGCTTTTTACCACTACGGGAACAGTTAGCTTCGCCTGCATGAAGTATCCGCTCTGCTGAAGCTCTTAACTGCTAACATCGCTCCGGAGGCAGCTCGCACAGCACGCAGAGTTTCCCTAAATCTGAGTGAAACGACAAACAAACAGCAGCAGTCATTGTAACCGATCTACGACACCGCGGCTAGCGTTAGCATGGCTGCGCGGCCTGCTCAGGAAGCAGGCGGGAGCTTTTATTTTCCAAAACGCTTCACCTGTCAAGCTGCTGATTCAGAGAATCTATTGATTAATGTTTACAGATTATTAAGCCATAAAACACAATCTTTTTCACTAATGTCTCTCTCCGGCAGATAAACCCACACTCTTAAGTTACAGAGGAGGTGAAGCAGACACACTAACTGAGAGTAAGTTGGTACTTTTTGTTTTGTAAATGTAAACAGTTCCTCCTGCAATATAAGTTTTGTTTTCCTGTGTCTTAAAAGCCCATGTTTTGATTTATTATTTGAATTAAATTTAAATATTCTGTTCTTTGTTTTCTAGCTCTGACATTGGATTTTCACCAGGTGAGTAAAACAAACAACCAAAACAAGCCTTATTCAACTTACAGGCTGTTTGTAAGTATTTACATTTATCCAGTCATGGTTGAATATTTCACCTGAACTGGTAGTAAAGAGTCTTAAATGAAGTACTTTAAATTGTAGTAGTGATGTATTATATTCTTATTTTCATGCCCCTCCATTGTTGTCCTAAAAAAAGTATAAAGAATAAAGTTTGCATAGTTAATTTTTCTCATTGTCAACAAATCTGATTAAATGAACAAAACCAACAGAGTGTTAGTTCGTCTCTCAACCCTGTGGAGCATTTTTTAAAGAAAATTAAACTATATATTTGTACGTTTTTTAAAGATGTATGTCTTCATACCTCGGGGCCTTCGAGCTGAGCGCCACACACAGTGTTAGATTACATTTATTCATTCAGCTGACGCTTTTATACAAAGCGACTTACAATTGCTAAGTATGTCAGAGGTCGCACGCCTCTGGAGCAACGAGGGGTTAAGTGTCTTGCTCAGGGACACGTTGGTGAACATGTCACAGAGGGGAATTGAACCCAGGTCTATAATTAAAAGTATTGTTTGCTTTTTGTAAACAGTGCAAGTTTAATGTAGAAAATCCACGCAGTTTGCACGGCTGATTAAAATATCAGAATGGAAATATTCTCAGCTGATTTGATCTTATACACAAAACTTTTCTTTATATAAACTTAACTTGAAGTTTCTGACCACTGGTGTTGATGTTGTTGTTCACCAGCTGCAGAGATGGCTCATGTCACCAATCATGGGAAGCTGCTCCTGCAGCGCCTTCATCAGCAGCGGGAGATGGACTTCTTGTGCGACGTGACCATAATGGTGCGAGACGTGGAGTTCAGAGCCCACCGCAACATCCTGGCAGCGTTCAGCAAGTACTTCTCCTCCCAGGCTGAAAAGGGTCAAGAGGTCACGACGCTGGACCCTGACAGGGTCAGCCGCTACGCTCTGGAGAAGCTTTTAGAGTTCATCTACACGGGACAGATGAACGTCAGCAGGTAAAACATGAATACAGCTAGAAAGAGAATAAATATTAAACTGAATCTTTTTTTCTTGATGACTCAAACTTGTTCTTCATGTCTTCAGCACCAGACAGGCAGCTGTGCGACGAGCGGCTGTGTTCCTGGGAATGACCGAGGCCACCAAGTATCTGGAGGAAATCCCGCACTGGTCCGAGCTGAGCGAAACGTCCCAGTCGGAGGCGGATAAAGAAGCTGGTCTCTCTCCTCGCAGCCCGGCCTCTCCCGGCAGCCCCAGCTCACCCGTTCCTCTGTCCATCGTCTCCGTCACAGGGGAGTGGCAGGACGAAGGCAAAGAGCAGGGTGACGAGGTCCGGTGTGTAACTGTGAAGGAGGGGGACAAGAGCGATGAAGAGTACAGCCCCACCACTCCGAAGAGCGTTGGAAGAGGACAGGGAAGGAAGAGAGGCAGGAAGCCGAAGAGTTTCAGTGGCGAGCAGGTGGAGGCGAGCAGCTCGGCCGACGGCGCCCCCAAAGTCCAGGCCAGCAGGGGGAGGGGGAGAGGCAGGGGGAGGGGCAGGGGGAGGGGGAGAGGTGGTGGGAACAGCGAAGTTGTGGTGCTGGAAGATTCTGACACCAGCGTGAAGGACTTCGGGGACACGTCTGCAGACTGGAGCCCCTCGCAGGAGGACGACACCCCGGCCAAGAAGCCTCGCCTGAGCAGCGGCGAGGGACGGAGAGGGCGAGGCCGGGGGAGGGGCCGAGGGAGAGGGCGAGGCAGGAGGAGGGCCGCCAAGGAGGAGGAGGAGGAGGAGGAAGAGGAGATCATGAGCTGGTCGGCGGCGGAAGATTACGTGCCGGACGAAGAGGAGGGTGAGCAGGATCCGTCAGAGATGGACGAGCTGTCGCTGTCGTGCACCGAGTGCAACAAACTGTTTAAAGACGCGAGCAGCCTGCACCGACACGAGAAGATCCACAAGGGCCTGAAGCCGTTCGTCTGCATCTTCTGCTCGAAAAACTTCAGACAGGCCACCCAGCTGAAGACTCACCTGCGCATCCACACAGGTGAGCCGAGAAACGAGTTTCAGCGCCGCTGCGGAGGGATTCAATCAATGAATCTCTTAGTTTGTGAAGATTCCCAAAGGTGGCTTGTTGAAAGGTTTTAGTTTCAGAGATCAACATTAAGTGACAAGGAAGAGTGAAAAAGTAAAAAATAAAACAGAGAAAATCAGTTGAGGAGGTGGAACCGAACAATTTCAGGATTTTTTCCTTGATTTCATTAAAACATGTTTAAAAAAACATGCAAGCACCAATGTTAACTAGAGTTTAATCAGAAATACTGTATTGATCCCTGAGGGGAATTTCTTTTGACACAATTGCTCATATTGCCTATCAAAGTATGAAGGAATAGAAATAATAATAGAAAGATGTTCTAGACGTATAACAAATATTAAAATATACAAATCTAAATATTAGGGATGCACCGAATGTTCGGCCACAGAAATGAAACGGACAGAAATCACAAAAAAGCACTTTCAGTGTTCGGCCTAATGAGTCAAAACGATTAAATTTTACTGAACAATTACTTTGACGTGTCGGCAGAGTGTAAGCATTTTAAAGTGTCTGAGACTTTATGAATTTAGCGCGAGGAGGAAACACATGTGACAACATCCCGTTTTCAAAATAAGGCGTCTATACAGGATGGAAATAAGATTAATTTAATTATCTTCACAGAAAGTATAAAACACAATATATGTGTCCATTAAAAGTAGGGTTGGGCAATAAAACAATAATGATAATTATCACAATATAATTTTCCTCAATAACAATATAATAAATGTTCAATATATCATCAATAAATATTTGGTTTAATTCATTTGAATCGCAAACAAATTGGCGCCTAATTTTTCTATTAAAATATTTATGTTGTTGAAAAAAGATAATAGTGTTTAAATGTTGTAACTCAGACTTGTGAAGTGATCCACTGTTTGACATCAAGTGTTTCAAAAGTTTGACCATCTGGTTTCTTGAATTTTCACTTAGGAGCAAAAATCTGCCTTTAAACTTGAAAGAAATAAAGATTTGACATTTATCGTGATAATTATCGAATGATATGAAATGTTTTAATCGTCCAGCCCTAATTGAAAGTAAATGGACACGTGTAATTTACTTTACCGGACCCTCTCGGGCCCCGGACCCCCCCTCCATAGTCTCTCCACATCCTGTGGGAAACACGGAGGGAAAAGCTCATTTTGACTATTTAATTCATAAAATGGTAAAAACAAAAACAAAAAAAACTGTGAATGTTTTTGTTTGGTATTAGGATTCAGTAATTTTCATTATGGTGCATCCCTACTAAGAGTATGTTTCACATTAAGTATTAAAACAGATAATGTCCGACACGAGGGAGGAGTTAAAGAGTTTGATGGCCACGGCAGCTTATCTGGATAGTTTTAGGGTGAGGTCGGCGTCCTGCTGAAACTTTCCCGTCTCTCTGTTGTTTGTCGCAGGCGAGAAGCCGTTCAGTTGCTCCGACTGTGACAAGTGTTTCGCTCAGAAGTGTCAGCTGGTCGCTCACCGCCGAATGCACCACGGGGAGGAGAAGCCTTACACCTGCGAGCGCTGCGGCTTCAAGTTCGCCACCTCGTCCAACTATAAAATACACATCAGGTACAGTTTCAGTATGAACAGCAGCAGCAGCAGCAGCAGCTCGGTTTAGAAGTTTCTACATGTCAGTTCACGTGAGCTTTAGAGGTGCTGGTAGTCTAGAGCTAGGCTAGCAGTTTCCCTCTGTTTCCAGTCTTTGTGCTAAGCTAAGCTAACCTGGGAGCTTTACAGACGTCAGAGTTGTACCGATCTTCTCATCTAACCCTCAGCAAGAAGTGTCTTTCCCAAACTGTTGAACTATTCCTCAGTATGTTTCCTCCTGTTAAAGCAAACTATACCAACTATATCTGTAAGAGAAGCTGCTTCACAGAATGAAATGACAGGAAAGCTTTTACCTCTTTGTTTATTTTGTCTCATTTTAGCATTTAGCACGTTGTCACCTTGTGTTTGGAGTCACAGTTGTTTCACAGAAACATCCGATCTCGTCTGTTCTCCGCAGACTGCACAGCGGGGAAAAGCCGTACGTCTGCGACATCTGCGGCCAGGCGTTCGCCCAGTCCAGCACGCTGACCTATCACAAGCGCCGACACACCGGGGAGAAACCGTACCAGTGCGACCTGTGCGGCATGTCGTTCTCCGTCTCCTCCTCGCTCATCGCACACGCGCGGAAACACACAGGTGAGAGAGGTTTTATTAATCCTGTGAGGAGATTCAGACTCAAAGCTGCTCTTCTGTCAGACTCCTGAACATATTGCTGTGTGTTTGTTTGTTTCAGGAGAGACTCCGTACAAATGTACACAGACGCAATGTGACGCAAGTTTCGTGACGTCGTCCGAACTGAAGAAACACATGAGGCGACTTCACCCGGGTGAGTTTCCCTGATCCCTCGTCAGGAGTTTGCTTACAGCAGTAGAACTGAAAGGATAAATCACAGCACGCAGATAAAACAGAGGGGGGTTCGTACCCCCGGGATTTATGGGATGTTTCTTTGATGATGAGAGGAAGGAGGTCGTAAACACAGCTGGAGGTGAACAGGAAGTCATCCTCTAGACCCTCGTGTTGATACCAAAATGATAAATGAGAGTAAACAAAACAACATGTTGGAGGTTCTAGCAGGATGTTCAGAGTCTGATGTGACTTTTTAACTTTGAACAAAATATAAAAATGTGTCTCCTGTCGAGCCGCACGTGTTACTGTTTATTACTGTAGTTTGAATACAGGGAATCTAATTATTTAAAAACTATCATGACTCCGGTTTGTACAAGAAAATGTGAGCAGCAGTTTACTTTTGTCTGAAGCTCCAGACTGTTTACACTGGTGCACCTGTTTCACAAGCATTTTAAGCGTTTCCTCTTTTTTTATTTTTTTATTTTTATTTTTTTTTGTCAGTTGCCGTACGCCTTGTTCATTTCTGAACACGTTATGGAAATGATTGTAAAGGAGAATAAAGCTGCAGACAAACGTTTTTCTTTTAGAATAAGGAAGCTCTTCTTTGGCTGAATTATAAGCAGCGTGACAAACGTCGCAGGACGGGAGGCTGATCTGCTGTCACGGCTCAGGATGTTTTGTGTTTTTTGAATGTTTTAATTTGGTCAAAAGCGCCGTTAACTGTTAGGATTTTATATTCTTATCGATACTCCTTATTGGTTCGGTTCTTCATCAAAACTCTTCTCAGTTCTTTTTCATTACCAAGTTAATGCTTTTTAAGAAAAGAATAAATCAGGTGAGAATGGAACTAAATGTTTTCCAGAGCAGCAACAGTAAAGTCACTTTATATCTGAGATGTCATTAAACTAAATCCTGTCCTGTGCCACTGTTTTGTCTCAGACTGCAGCTTTAACCATTTAGCTGCAGGGCGCCGTTAATACCGGGTATCAGTAAGCTACCCGTCCCTGCTGCACACCCAGCTGGTGCATCAGTGTGACCAATGAAAATGTTTGTGGTCGCTCCCTGGAGCCCTGTTTAGACCAACGAACGCAGAGCGACTTGAAACTGGACTTTTCTCTAAATGTCCGCCGACAAAGTTCCTCCTCGGCGATGTGAGGAGGTGACGGGAGGTTTTAAATGTCGCTCACACTTTGTGCTGTCTGTGTGCGCAGACGGGAACACCGGCGTGCAGTGTCTGCTGTGTGGAAACCGGTTCGCCAGCGTGAAGAACATGATCAAACACCAGGAGAAGGCTCACGCCGACGAAGTGCGGCAACACAAGGAGCGAGCACGAGCAGGTGAGCAGAGGCGTTTTGACCTTCAGGCTGGAAACCGTTGAAGCCGCCATGTTGATTTGTTTTACGGTACATTGATGTTTCTCATGTTAAAACTTCCTGTTTTGTGTGTGAGCAGTCGTCCTCCTGGCGTCCAGTCATCCCGTGGCGTTTGTCCAGAGCAAACTCACGCAGGAAAACAAAGGTATGGCTTCCATCCCCGAAGGCGAGCCACCCAACCCCGAGCCGGCCACCCCCAACCCCAAAGCCACAGCGCCCGCCGCAGACGGCGACACCGCTGAAATCATCGAAACCACCATCCAGAGCCCCGCCCCGCCCGTCGACGCCCCCGCCGAACAGGTGACCTTCGAACCCGACCAGGAGCAGACCATCAACTCGGACACCCTCCACGCTCTGGTGGAGCAGCTGCGGCCGCCGCCCTCGCCCGCCCAGAGCCTGGAGCAGATCGTCATCATCAGGACGGTGGACAACGGCGAGCACAACCCTCCTCAGCAGTGAGGCCCGAGCCGCAGTCGGCGCTCCGGCTTACAGCTACGGAAAATACACATCAGTGGACGTTTGGTCGTCTGTGAGCGAAATCTGTTAAATCATTTCGTAGTTTTATCCATTATTTATATCGGTAATAAGAACATTTACTAACCAGGAGCTGAGATCAATCCAGTCAGATGATCAGACAGCAAACCCGCTGCTCAGGAGGTGAAAGTTAAACCTGTAAACATCCGACACGACTGCCAGATTCAGCTTTGACCTCCCAACTAACTGATGTTGTGTGTCGACAGTTTTCCTTCGCGCTGAGGGATTAATACCAACATCTCCCGCGCTCACTGTCAGTTCGTGCTTTAGATCGTCCGGGTGGTTTACGATCCGTCTGATTGTCTGACTGTTCGTGTGTGTGTGTGACTCTTTTACTACTGCAGGAATTTAAAACTTGACTTCATCTGCCGTAGCTCCTGGCTGCTCGAGTGTCCGTAGACGTGGCGTGTTAACCATCGGGAGGGGGTGGAACTCGTCGTAGGAAGCGATTCACGTCAGTCAAACACAAATTTCGAGGCTGCTGCTGCGGCAACCTGTGCGCAGAACATCCGTTCAAACTAGGGACGCACCGATCCGAGTCTTTCAGTCCTGGTCCAGATACCTGGACTGATGCTGAGTACTGATCCGATACCAGCGTGAAACTGTGAGGACGAGACTGGGAAGCATTTTGTTATGTGGAAGGAAACATCAGGCACGACTTAAAGCTTCCTAACTTTCTAAAACAAAATGCTAAGTTAGCTTCTCTAGCAAAGTGTTCCAGTCTGGGCTGGCGAGTTCGGTTTTGAAAAGATCGACCTCTTGTCACTGATATCCAGCTATTTGAGTCGGTATCGGCTCGATATCTGTATCAGTGCATCTCTAATTCACTGATGCAGCTAAACAGCAGTGATGATTTTACCTTGTGTCTGACGTTGGTAGGGATGCACTGATCCAGCACGCTGAAGACCGGGACAATAGAAACCTCTTGTCATTGAGATGTCATTAAAGTAAATCTAGTAGCAGTTAGAATCATTTATGGCCTCAGACTAAACGTTTTACTGCCACGGCGTCGCTGTAGGCGTCGCCTACAAGTTGCTGACATTTACAGGTTACGTCCCTCAAACTGCAAAGGCATCAGCTGATTTTTAGGGATCAGAAGAAGTCTGATCAGCGCTTCACTAAACTTCGACCAGAAGAGACAAATGTCCTTAAATACGCGTCTTCATTTAGAGTCCGTGTGTCTTTTCATCGGTCGGCTCACTCTGAATATAGTGCGCAGGTGCGTCGCACGCATTTTGCTAATGAGTTTCAAACTTCACCAGCTGCTTAAATTCACCTATTTTACCAAAAACACTCGAGACGAATCTTTCGTCTGAGGCTGAAGCTACTTTTTGGATGAGAAATCAATGTGTCAGACCTGGATGTGGATTTAAAAAGAAAAACAGCCAGTACAACTCTTGTTTTAATAGATAATGTAGTTAATAGGAGGCTTGTTGAGATTTAATTGATCATAAACGATGTGATGGTGGCTTTATTAATGTGAACAGCCCTGTTAATGAAAACAAAGGTTTCTGTTTCTGTGTAATATAGTTCATTTTTTAAAGCCGCTGTTTTAGGTCTTAGCATTAATGTGTTTGTGCTTCAAGTAAAAAAAAACACTGCATTATATTCAGTATTTTTACCAACTTGAAAGTTTTTTTTTTTTTTCTGTTTCATGCTTCTTTTATTGTCTTTCTTTGTTTTTTATTTTGGACATACATAACATCTGTGTTACTTGTACAGAAATGTGAATTACATATACAAGTTCGCTCCTGTATAAAACGTGTACGACAGTAAAAATAAAAATTAAAGACAAAAAGGGACAATCAGATGTGCGTTCGTCTCGGTGACTGTTGAGATATAAACAATTATTAGTTCTTTCAGTATCTATTTTATGTCACTTAGTTTTCTGCACACTGTTTGGAAAACATTTAGAAGCAGATTCATTTTGCACATTAATATCTGTTTAAAGATTAAGATGAGGTTTGTCAAACAGCAGCAGAATTAAAAGATGCTGAAGGTGTATCTACATGTTGAAAGTCATAATAATGAAGGAAAACTTTATTTGTACGTTCAGTTTCAGCTGTTTCACATTTTTACTTTGCCAAAATATTAAATACAAAGGAGAACAGGTAGAAGTTGACATTACATGAAACAGGGAATTAAAAATACTGTACGTTCAAACAAAATCAGGCACAATGAGTAAAAATATTTAAACAATATTAAAAATATATATATTAGGGGTTTACGTGAGACGTATTCAGTCTGAAAATACTCCACCAAAAGTCCTGCAGTCAAAACCTGCAAAAAAAGTAAAGTATGGAAGTAAAAGTGCTCGTGTTGCAGTAAAATGTTTGTCTTTTATATATCATGCTTCTGGATTAATATTCCTGCTGTAGATGTTTAAGGTTGAGCTCATTTTAACTCCTTTTATATCCTGTTGGGTAGTTTAATCTGCAGCAATGCATCATGGTCTATAGGATCATTTTCCAGCTGATCCAAAGTGGCTTTAAATTAAGTTTTAAATATTATTTAGCTGAAGGAGGATTTTCTAAACCATAAGGAAACTCTTCAGTCCTTATTGCAAATTTACAATTTATCATTATTATATTATAGAAGTATAACATTTCAAATATATAACTGGCAGTATAGTTAGTATTAAGTACATTGTTATTATTGTGTTAAATTACTAAGATTATATTAATTAATCTTCTGTTAAGTTTCTTGTTTACTCTTTTGTGCCTCCGGAGTCGCCGTCCTCCTCCCGTGTTGCCATAGTAACCCAAACTCTCCGGCGGGGAAGATGTCCGGTGAAAAGTTCAATTTCGCTGCTGTCTGCGCAGAAAATCAGATAGAAATAAACCCTCACATCTTACAAGCCTTAGAGGAGACGACGGGGACGGAGTAAGTGTCCAAATGTGACGGAAAATGAAAAGTTAACAACCATTTTAGCTAAAAGCGAACGGGTGTTGCCTTCAGGTGCTGCTGACTGAAATCAGAAAACTCCAACTTTCAAAAAGCGGTGGTGGAAAGTGACTATTTTTATACTGCTAAATGTTCTTCTACTGACTTTTTACTCTACTCTATTTATTTGACGGCTATAGTTTTTTATTTTACCAGGGCTGCCAGCTTTTCACTGTAGTTTGGAGGGATTCAGTGTTGCTCAGGTCTGCTGTGACAGAATGTTGTTTAAAAAAAAGTTCAGCTGCCAAACTCACCATTTAAAATCATGTATAGATGAAAAGCTAAATCAATAATCATGGTCACTGATGAATAAGTAGCCTATGATCAGCATACTTGCCATCCTCCAAACATCAGAGCCTAAATCAGGAGACCAAATCCTAACCTGGTGTTTGGGAATGTGTCCTCCAGAAATTGTTGTCATTGTAGTTAATTTATGGAGGAGTTTTGTTGTTGAAATACAGCAGTGTAAGTGTTGCTTCAATGTTCTTGGGGACACATTAAATGGGGGGTATATATTTTGAGCATTAATCATTAATCCTGCATCAATTTCTGCTTCAATTTATGGTGAAAACATCTTTATGTACATAGAAGAAAGCTTCGGGCGGTAGGTAACAATTCAAACAGAGTATAAGTCAGTTCAGGTCTCAGACATTCTGTGCTGCTTTCAGATCTGTTTCTCCTGTAGATCAATTTTTGTAATGTAACCTCATCCCTGCTTCCTTCCTCTTTTGTTTCTCTTGTTTGGGGAAGTAACCTCATTAAATGTGCATGTGGCACCTTTTCACCTCCATAATAAATTCATTTTAATTCAGTTAGAAACTCCTGGACTCGAATAGCTCCTGCGTTTCAGAGTTTTCAAAACTTTCTGCACGTTCAGAATCCCCCTCACATACCTGTGTTCTCTCACATGTCCAGAAAGAAGTCATAATATTACCAGAATAACATCATTTATAGAGAAGTCTACCTGCCCATTACTCTGCTGTGCGTTGTGTTATTGCCCTGCTGTTATTGCAGAATCCCCTTTAGACCAAATGACCGACCCAGAACCCGTTTGGGACTGTACTGCATGAGACAAGGAGGTGGAAACTAACTTAAAACTCTTGTGATCAGGCAGAAAACTCACCACAAATCCACACAAACGTTTGAATAATCTTACGTGTAGTGTCGCAGGAACATGATCCTTCTTACATTTAAGTCTGATTTTACATACAAAACACGATAAACAAAATATTAAATGTCGCATTGTTAAAACTTAAACTACCCAGAAGTTAATAAAGTAGTTAAAATTTTCTGAACTCCGACCAACGACAACAATAAACTGCTACTACTACATGCAGCTGTTATTATCTTCTTTTATGGTTATTTTAGTTTTTTTTAGCACTTTGTACAAATAAATTACTAAAAACATGGATCACATACCTGGTTCTACTTTTTGTCTGGACTACTAAATTTTGAAAATAAAACCACAGAATCAACTTTTTGTTACACAATGTATTTGTATATTTCCACCCAAAGGCGTGTAAATCTAACGTGCAACGAAGACTTTATGCAGAGCACCTGAAGGCAGCATGTGAAGTTAATTACATTTAGTTGTTGTTGTTGTTGTTGTGTTTGGCAGGAATGTCACCTTAAAACTTTCTGGAAACAACCGACTGAGACGAGTTCAGCGACTTGATGACAAAGACGCTCTCGCTCTCTCAGAATGTCTGAGACACGTGAAGTGTGTGACAGGTGAGCGGTCAGGTTCAGGTGAACACCTCAACTAGCACATCTATGAATTTTCAAAACATTTTCCTTTATCAACAGGTCTGGATGTCGGGTACAATAACATAACAGATGAAGGCGTTGGACACCTGGCTGACCTCTTACAGGTAACAAGTATCGAGGGGGATATTGTTAATTGATCAACAGGAGAAGAAAAACATCTTCTCTCTACTCCACGTGGTGTTTATTTCCTTTTTTAATTGGTGTTCCCGTCGTCGTTTATGTTTATCTTTCTGTCTTCACTGAGCAGGACGACGGCTCAGCTCTGCACTCTCTGGACCTGATGTTCAACGACATCCAGACGGACGGAGCTGAAGTTCTCGCCAAGAGCCTGCAGGTTCAAATCCATCTGCGTCTCTCTCACGCACACACACAGTCCTACTTAGTTATACTCACTGTCAACAAATCCCCAGAAACCAACAGCATGTCAGTCCGTTTCTCAGTACTTCCTGACTTCCTGTCTGTGGCTCTCAGCTCGGAGCACATTGGCTCCTACAGAAGATGTAAATCTTTAAAGGACACAAGATAAATATATGGTTTAAGTGTGAAACAGCTGCTCGCTGTAGTTTCTATCAAACAAAGGAGGAAATGTGTGCGTTTGTGGGGGATTATTTTCAGCGGCGGATGAATCCACATGTGCTCCTGTATGTGGCTCCTGTGTGTGTTCATGGGTGATGAATGAACATGTTTATTGACAATAACTCCAGTAACATTTCACATTTATACTTTTTTTTATGTATTTATTTATTTTTATTAATTAACTAATTTTTTTGTCTATTAATACACACACACGTTTATGGTTATATCTATTTACTTTATAAAAAATTTTAATAAATTAATATAATAACACAAACACGTTGTTCTTTCATTTATTTAGTTTATTAAAATCTTTTATATATTTAAAAATTTTTAACAAACACACACGCTCTTTTATTTATTTACTTTTATTTTTAATATTTATTTTTACAGAATTTTTATATTTTATATATTTTTTATTATTATTATTTTATTTTTTATTAACACACACAAACACAACTTTTACTGTTTTATGTATGAAATTAATTGTTCTTATGTAATTTAAATGTAGCTTTGGCAACATTGTTGTTATACATTCATGCTAATAAAGCTGATTTGAATTGATTTGAAGAGTCAGAAAGTAATGATCTCTCTCTCTCTCTCTCTCTCTCTCTGCAGGGCAACAGCACCTTGCTGTGTCTCAGACTGTCAGGTAATAAGATCGAGAACAGAGGAGCCATGCACCTGGCCAGCATGCTGCAGGTGAACAACACCCTGAAGGAGCTGGAGGTGGCCGACTGCGACCTGGTAAACACACACACCTACTGCTCATCACGCTGGTTCCTGAAATTGCAGATGTACTACTGTTTGACTTGCAACTGAACAATAACCTCTAACAGTTATCCTTATCATATATTAATATTTCTTTGATTTTATATTCATGACGTGTAGTAATGTGCAGTATTTCAAACATCCAATCAGAAGTCTTCCTCTGCCTCTGGCCCTGCAGGCCACTCAGAGCGTGATAGCGTTTGCCATCGTGTTGAAAAGCAACAAGACTCTTCGCTCTGTTGACATCAGCCGGCCGCTGCTCTTCAGCCACCAGGTACGATACACGGACCAAATTAGTCCTGAGTTTCTGTCCCAGCAGACAGGACGTGTGACTCGGACCTGAAGCCCTCTGTCGCTCTCTCAGGACGAGTGGGCGGTGCACTTCTCTGAGATGCTGGCTGTGAACTGCAGCCTGGTGGAGCTCCACCTGGGGAAGATGGGCATGACCGACACCGGGATGGAGAGGCTGACTGAAGGCCTGCGGCTCAACCGCAGCCTGCGCTACCTGGACCTGCGCTGGTAGGAACAAAAACTCCTGCACCTTTAGTCTGGAGGTTCCTTCTTTAAATCCCTCTGATCCTCTGGAAATATGACTCTCACTGACGACTGTCACTTCCTCTTCTTCGTGTCTTTGTTGTCCGTAGTAACCGCGTGACCCGTGACGGCGCGCGTCATCTAGCTGAGGTGCTGAAGCACAACCCGACTCTGGAGATCGTAGATCTGTCGTCCAATCGGATTGAAGATGACGGTGCTGCGTACCTGAGTGAGGTCATCGCGTGGCCAGGCGGCGCTTTGAGAGAGTGAGTCCAACACGCTCAGACAAACATCTTCACATTTCACCTTCTACATGCTCTTGTTTGTCAGAAGTGTTGGACGTTGGGCTGCCTTCGTGGTCTCTGGTTTACAATACTTATTTTGAATTTGATTACTAAATGATTTCTGTCAGAGTTCTCTGGAGCAGCTGGAAATATTTACACAAGACATCCAAACACTGTGTGTCTGTCTGTGTCATTTAGGGTTTAAGTTCTAGTATTTCCTGTTTTATTTTGGTAAACCCTTCCTCTTGTGTCTTTCTGTGCTAATGTGTTTCCTTGTGTTTCGTGGTGTATTTATATAACTTCCTGTCTTTGCTCGTCCTTTGTTTTGGCTTATGTTTTTCCTGAGTTTCCTGTTTTACTTTGTTACTTTACTCTCTTCTCGTTTCTGGTCGTTTCATTTCCCACTTGTGTGACTGTTTCCACCTGCGTCTTGTCAATCCCTCTTGATGTATATAAGTCTGTGTGTGACTCTTTGTCTGTTGCCGCTTCATCGTTGTCTACAGACTTCATGTTTCCTGATGTCCTCCCTGTGCGTTGTTGGATTTATACTTTGCTTGGACGTTGGATTTCGATCTTTGCCTGCTTCCTATTGCTACTATTCACTACTGCTTTCTTGTTTTTTTGTCCCTCTGGTTAGAATAAATCATTAAACTCCTACCTGGCTGAGCTAATTACACCATATCCACCGACTCACTTTCTTCACTCTCTGCTCTGCTGATCCTTCTTTTAAAAAAGAAATCAGCAGGCTACAGAGGTTTTGCCCATCGTGCTCCCTATTAGTTATTAGTGTTAGTGAAGCACGTTCAGTTATCTTTTCTTCTTTAGTCATTCTTTGTTTTTAACCCTTATGTGTTTTATCTTCTGTATTTTATTCTATGTATCCCTTGGAAAGTGTACCGGGTCCGTGCTGCATGGTGATTTTGCACTGTAACATTTGGACTCATTGTGAAAGTCTGTCTGTCCGTCAGGCTGTCTGTCACCAGCAACAACATCAAGACGGAGGGTCTGCTGTCCTTGGCTCGGGCTATGACAGCGAACACAACTCTGACCCACATCTACATCTGGGGAAACCACCTGGAGGAGCCAGTCTGTCAGGTAACACACACACTACACACCCTGTCGCCTGGCTCAGCTGTAGCAGATCCACCGTCTACCTTTAACTCACTGCTGCTCCCTCTCTTCAGGCCTTCAGACAGCTGATCTCCAGCGGCCGCCTGCCTCCGGAGCAGACCGATGTTAGCCCGTACGAGGTGGACGGGCAGGTGTTTCTCGCCGAGGTCTTCCACAGTTTGAGGAGACACTGGTACTGGACTAACAGCTCCGGTACAGACACATCCACCACCTCCAACACTGCAACAGACCTGTTAACAATCCGCGCCACCAGCCCCGACTCCAGCTTGCCACGACACGCCGAGAGTCAGCAGCTTCTTCACCTGCAGTCCTGCTGAAACGAATGAAATGAAACTTCTAAACACTAAACTGTTCCTAACCTGTGAGATTTGTTTTACTGAAAGTGTCCATCCTTATCTTATTTACATATAAATGTTTAATGCATAGATTCAAAGGTGCTGAAAGATTCTGAAAGTTCTCTTTAACTGCATCAGAGCTCAGATATTTTATAAAACTAATTAAATGAGCTCATGAAAGATCGCAGAGGCCAGTTAGTTCAGGGAAACTGAAAACCAGGGCTGCAACTAACAATTAATTTCACAATCGATTAATAGGTCAATAATCTTCTGGATTAATCGAGAAGTTTTTTGGTTTGGTATAAAATGTCAAAAAATGGTGAAAAATGTTGATCAGTGTTTCCCAAAGCCCAAGACGACGTCCTCAAATGTCTTATTTTGTCCACGACACAAAGATATTCACATTTAAGATCAAGTTTTGCCTTTTTTTCTTAAAACAATAAAGATGATTCGATTATCTAATAGTTTCTGATTTATTTAATAATTTACACCTAATTGTTGCAGTTCTACTGAAAAAAAAAAAATCATTCTCAGAAACTGTTATGAATTTGTAAAAGTTACTCTTGATTTGAAAACTGAAGCGGATGCGAGGTCTTCCCCAGCGGACAAAGTTCCCTTTAGTTTCTTAGAGTAAAGGTGTTTTATCTCCATGAGTTCTAGTTTTGGTTGTATAAAGAGTTTTGTCTGATTTAACTCAAAACAGTGGGACACAGTTTTGAGTTTTTACAGGTGCATCTCAAAAACTTATATCGTAGAATAGAAAAGTTTAATTTTCTTCTATAACTGAACTTAAAAAGTGAAACCATCGTGTCTTCCAGATTCATTACACAAAGTGAAATATTTCAAGCTCTTTTTTCTTGTTTTAATTTTTGAAGATTACGTCTTCCAGCTCTTGGAAATCAAAACTCCAATATCTCCAAATTAATTTTACATTAAAGAATTTATACAGAAACGTCGACCTGAGAAGATCTTTAATCGGCCGATTAACTTAAAACACCTGCAAACGTTTGCTGAGGTCTGGTTCTGCTGCTCACGGTGAACTTTCCCACGATAATTGTTGGAGATGCACCTGTGTTATAAATATCATATTCATGTTATGAAATTAGCTGGGCGACATGAATGTGAAGTCAATCTACAGTTAAAGATTCTTCTTTGCAACAACAGAGATCACATCAGGTTCATGATATCGGTACCATAAAACATGTTTTTAATACAATATTTATAGACTAAACAAGATATTTGGTGCTCTGTGTTTCTTTATGTCATTTCCTTTTTACATGTTACTGTTCGAATTTGAAAAAGCAAAAGAAAATGTATAAAAAATATTTTCTGTATTATTATTTTCCCAGACGTGTGTTATATCGTGCTCCGTGTTTAAAAAAATTAAAAACTATATGACTGTCTGGAGTGTTGGTCATGTTTTTTTTAATTCAGGTGTCCATTATTCGTGTTTTCAGCTAAGCATCTTCAGGATTTTGAGTCCCTACTCCTCAGACTGACTATCCTCTGGACTCTCCTGACTGGTCGCTTTAAACGCTGATTCTGTATTGGGTGGATCCCACTCCAGCAGGACGCTCCTCTTCCTCAGGCGGTGGTTCAGCTGCTGTCTGTCCTGAGAGCCCATCGTCCACCGCCGCAGCGCCAGCCGAGTCAGAGCAGGCAGTCGAGGCAGAGCGGTGAGCAGCGCCGGCAGCCAGCGTGAGCAGGGAGCAGAGGTCGAAGGTCGGAGGCTGAGGTCAACGTCCTCCAGCGAGCCCAGGCCTCCGGCTGCAAACAGGGCGAACCAGCCGTCGTCACCTACCGAGCCGTTGTAGGACAGATCCAGCACCCGCAGAGAGGACAGGCAGCCGCGTCTGCACACGGAAGCTGCACAGGACAAAGAGGGAGGACGAAATAAAGCAGGATTAAATAGAGCTCCAGACTCAGGAGGATTTCCATTTTAAGGGGCTCTTTGGTTTTCCTCCGTGACATTTCAGGTGGAAATTTGTCTGAAGGCTGAATTTACTCGTCATTTTGTAAATTCAGATTTTACAATCAACATGAAAGACCCTGAAACTGAAGCAGCTAAATGGAACTCAGCCATCATGAATTTAAATACTGTGGTTTATCCTACTGTGACGTGTACAAATGACTTTGTAAAAAATATCTCTTGTAAAAAGCTTATCTTTAACTTTAAAGGCAACTAAATCTAAATAAATGAATGGCTCGTTGTGTAACAGTGTGTGTGTGTGTTACCCAGGTGTCGCAGGTCCTCAGTGGCGAGCGCACAGCTGCTGAGGCGGAGCTCCAGGATGAGTGACGGCTGCAAAGCGTCCAGCAGCAGCGCTAAACGACCGCCGACCACTTTACACCAGGAAACATCCACGCCGCGCAGGTACGGCACGGCGAGAGCTGACACACACAAAACAGACTTTTTATGGAGTCACATGTATTTAAAAATAAAATAAAATGGTTAATTTGTAGTAACTGACTACATGTTGCGCAAGGAGTGTACTTTAGTACAATTCTGAGGTGCTAGTACTTGAGTATTCCCATTTCAGGAGGAAATACTGTAGTTTTTAATACATTATTTAGTAGCTATAACAATATTTGTAAAAAACTACCCAATTAAAAATTAAAATGAACTCTATCTTGACCAAGTACAACAGTAAAATACAATTACACATGAATGCACCAGTAATAATAATCCTATATTATAAAGTATAATAATATAACCATCACGTGGGCCATTTGTCTAAATAACTAGTACTTGTAATACTTTGAATACATTTTGACTTGTAATAATATTTATACATTGTAGTATTACCACTTTAACTTAAGTAAATTATGTGAATACTTCTATCCCTGCAGTATTAATACTCACAGTACCAGTTTCAGAAGTATCAGTTCTACAGGTAGTAGTTGCAGTACTAGCTCTAGCAGTATCAGTAGTATGTACGTACCGAAAGCAGTAACGGACTCCTCGTTCAGGCTGCAGCTGTTGAGCGGCAGACGCCTCATCTGTGTCAGAGGGAGGGCGGAGACCAGCGGGTGGACCACGCCCCCTGACGCCTTATTGGACGACACGTCGAGCTCCGTCAGCGCCGTCAGAGAGGGAAGCACCTGGACTGGAGACAAGGAGTCACATGACCTGCTTTCAGGTCAGTCTGAGGTTTAAGATTCACTCACACACTCGGACTCACTCAGGGCCTCCAGGTCGCTGTGCGTGAGACAGCACAGGTGAAGGTCGAGGCTCTCCAGCTGAGTCAGGTGACTCAGGTGGAGGGTGAGGCGGCTCAGGCCTCCAGCCAGACTTTTGTTACAGGACAGGTCCAACTCTCGCAGTGAGGGGAGGCAGCGGAGCGAACCACCTGCGGGACAGGGAATGTAAATGTGCCAAATTTAAAAAGTTATTCAGACTCAAGTTCTCGGAGTTCCGGCCATCTAAAGTGATCATGTTGTTACAGCGGTACCTTCAGGTGAAATGCCGCCAACTTTAGTAGAATCTATCAGCGTTTAGATTTTGTTTAATCTAAATTGAATTAGCAATTTATGTCAGAGAGATCACGGCTACAAGAGTGTGGCGAGCATTTTTAGTGAAACCAAAATAAGTAATAATAAAATAAAGTGTTTAGGCAGAAATGGGCGTCGCCTAGATGGAGTGATACAAGTTGAACAAAAGAATGCAGGAAAAACATTTTCTTTTGCCATTTTAAGCCTCTGGAGAGAGTTGGAAACTCCCTGAATAACAGCTTTTTGCTTCTATGCCGGAGTAGGAAGCTGCAGCTGCTGCGTCTGAAGAATCAAAACCTACAGAAACTGCAAACGGAAAACAACGTCTTTCCCTGCGTCAACCTAAACCAAACATGTACATGCATACTGACAGTAGGTCTCATACTGAGAGCGTCCAGGCTGTCCGTCGTCAGACCGCAGGCCTGAAGGCGCAACGTGGTGAGGGAGGCGGCGTGGGAGAGGGAGGAGGTCAGCCCTCTGAAGCCGCCGACATCTACTTCCTGTGCGAGCTGAGGGTTACACGAGACGTCCAAAACACTGAGTCTGGGGAGAGCGGACACCATCCCTCCTGAGGGGGACAGACATATTTGTTATACACACACACAGTGTCTTCATGAATATAACATCTGTGGTTGTTCTCCAGCGGCATTATGGGAAATGTAGGAAAAGGAAGCAGATGAGGGATGTTGCCTGTTCCAGCCTTTGCATCCAAGTATATGTGCATTAAAGGCGAGTACCCAGTGCAGGAACATCAGCTGCAGTGAGCCGGCAGGCCACCAGGCGGAGCTCCCTCAGGGTGGGGTGAAGTTTACCCAGCAGGCCTTGCAAAGCGCCGCCCCCAACGCCACCGTTCCACGACAAATCGAGGACCTCCAAGAGAGGGACGCAGACGAGAGCGTCACCTACACAAACACAAACGTTTACAAAGCGTACTTAATAAAATCAATGTGTTTGAAACATTTAACAGCTAACGATCATTTTTATTACTGATTAATCTGATAATTATTTCTGATGTGTCAGAAAATAGAGCCCAAGATAACGTCTTCAGAGAGATTTAGTTTACTCTGATGTAAATCCTCACATTTCACAAGTTGGTTCTTAAAAAGTCGATTCACGAACTAGTTGCACAGTCGTTGATTATTTAATTGATTCATCTATTAACAGACTTTATTACAGAAGTTTTGTTTTGTCAGTTTGTCCATATTCTACGTAATAATAATAATAATAATAATAATGACCCACCGAGCGCAGCGACGTCATCAGCGTTCAGCCTACAGCTGCAGAGCCTCAGCGCTCTGATCCCGCCCACACGCTGGAGGTGAGAGGTCAGCGCTGCCAGGCATCCGCCAATCAGCTCGTTCCAGGAGAGGTCCACCTCCTCCAGCAGGGGGAGAAACTGGAGCAACGTCGCTGAGAGGACGAGAAGAGGAAGAAGGAGGGCAGACGATGTGACGCCGTGGACGCTGATGCTCAGACTCGCAGCTACCTGAGACTTTCCTGCTACAGTCAAAGTGTTGTTTGACATCTGAAACACCTTTTCCCAACGTCTGACTTTCCTAAACAGACAATCGCACTCGCAGCGATACGACCCCTTTGTAAAGATTAAAATTGTCCAGTCCTGTAAATACGTTGGTGATAGAAAACTAAACTGGAAGGAGACTCAGTTTATAAGAAGGTTGTCCCTGAGAAGATAAAGCTCCTTTGATGTGAGAAGAAACCTGCTTTAAAATAAAATTAAAATCAAGGCGTTACAGTCAGTGTTCTTTCTTTGTGCTGTGCTTAACTGTAGACGATCAGTAAGTTGATTTAAAAAGCTGGCTCTGTGATTGTCCTTGCCCCTAATTCACTGGCGGTCATCACAGAAAAGTGCCAAACTAGATGTTGTGGATCTTGTCGTCAGCTCTGATCAGGTGTCAGAATGCTTTTAATGGCTGTATCGTTTTTATTTCTTGTCCTTGTCCTGTTTGATGTCATCTGAGTTTCCTCATTGGAGATTAATAAAGCTTTCTAATCTAACCTAATCTCATCGGAGTCCTGACCTCTCAGTCTGGAGCCTCTGGTTTAAAGTGAGACTGTGTAATAGTTTGAAATAGGAAACTACACAATCTTCCACTTACAACTGAAACACACATTCAGTTCAATAAGCTCACAGGAGTTTTTCTGATAGGGTCGGTTTAGTCTGTTCTGATCTCGATATCATCACGGAGCTGACTTCATGTCTCCTCTCTACTTGTGCTGTTGTTACACTGTGTGTATTTACCTTGGCTGCTGTTCAGCAGAACACACTCTGTCTTGAATCGACTTGACTTCTTCTTACATAACATGAGCGAATAATCTTCACGAGAAACTAAACTGCTTCATCATCGTGTTCATTCAGACAGTTTCACTGTAAACGCTTCAAAGAAAACTTCAACATGCTTTATAAAGTCATTTTTAAACATATTACTTTCATTTTGTCTCCATTATTTGATCCTTTGCATACTGTAATTGTACCTGCAGTATATTTATTTGACCAAATTTTACATTTTGGGGCTTTTAAGTGTACCAAAAATACACTAGAGTTTACCTCTTGTGTGTTATACAGTTATAAAATGAGAGTAACCGTGTGCACCTAGCTCCAGCAGGTCTGTAGCAGTCAGGTCACAGTGAGCCAGGTTCAGGCTCCGGCTGTCGACTTTCTTCCCCAACCTCTGCAGGAAAACACACACTCGACCCCAGCCGACGTCGCGCTCGCTCTCCACGGCCACAGCGGCGCCTGAAACGCGAACACACATCTGATCTAACGAGGCTTCATATGTTTAACCTCTTTTATTTTGCCATCTCAACTTTAACATGTTCCCCTTCCTATTAGATGTGAAATCGTTCCTCTTATCGTTACCGGCTGTAACGGGATTGTAGTGTAACTAACCGAGGACAAAAGCCAACAAAACTTGTTCTGTGCAAAACGTTTCAGGGGTCTGAGACAAGTCAGGAGAGCGTCCTCTACACTTACACTCGATGTGTTCTGGAGCTATTAACTTAATCGGCAACTGTTTTGATAATCTAATAATCATTGTGAGTCATAAAAGAAGTCAAAATTCTCTGATTCCGGCTTTTTTTAAGTAAATATTTTGTGGTTTCTTCTCTCCTCTATGACAGCTAACTGAATATCTTTGGGTTTTTGACAAAACAAGATGTTTAAGGACGTCGTATGATGATTAACCGATTATAAAAATAATCGTTTGTTGTAGCTCTAGAGGAGGGACACAAACACAAAGACAGAATTTCATATTTTAGGCAACTTTAAGTTGTTGTTGCAGGAACTTTGTTTTTCCTCACAGCTACAGGAACTAGTTTAGCTCCGGGTTCATGTCAAAAGGATTTAATCACCAAGATGTAATGTAATAAAACATGATAAAGTTTGACTGTTTAGTAAACGAAAACAAAAAGGAAGTGACATCAGATTCACATCCAGCTGTGAAACAACACCTGAGCTCCGTCCTCTCTCCTCCTCTCTGCCCTCCGTCTCTCCGTCCTCAGGGATCCCCTTCCGGTCCGAGGTCCAGGACAGGAAGCGTCCCAGCGGCTTCCTGTCCGAGGCCGTGCGTTTCCTGCGGATCTGGTTCATGATGACGTCGAGAGGGGAACGTCTCTGACCGCCGCCCTCTCGTCCCCGCTGACCCTCTGACCAATGAGAGCCAGAAGACAAGATTATTACTATAAACCTCATCTTTTAAATGTTAAAGATGAATTCATTCTAAATGCTTTAATTCAGGATGATAAAGGCGTTTATTCATTGGTGCTTCGTGGACTGCATGTTTACAGGGTTGCAAATGTTTAATTACTGTGTAAAGTTGAATTAAATGTATCCAAAGTACTCCAGTACTGTATGAAAGTAAAATTATATTTACTAAAATGTGCTTCTTTCTAATTCTACTCTTCTACAGCTACAGTTTCTTCTCAGATTAAGTTTCACATATATTTACATAAAGAAAATATAATAATCATATAAAACACATCATTTGAAATTAATAAAGTGGTTTCCAACCTTATTGAATTGTGACCTCTTGTCCACGAGTTGTTCGCAGTTTCACTAAACTTCTCACTAGATCTTAACTAAATAACTGTTTCATATCGCCAAAAGTGTTATCACGATAATAAAAATTAATGTAATTGGATATCAAGATAAATGTTAAATAGTTATTATTTTTTTCAAGTTAAAGGCTGATTTTTGCCCCTGAGTGAAAGTTAAAGAAACCAGATGGTTAATTGTGGTTTAAACTCTTATTTATGGGCAACACTTGGTGCCAAACAGTGGATCACTTCCCAAATCTGAGGCAGAACATTCAAAATAATTATGATTAAATCTTTTTTCAACAAATATGCACGAGTAAAAGTAAGTCAAATCTTTTCTTCAACAAAATATAAATTATCTTCAACAAAAGAAAAGGAAAAATTAAGTGCTAATTCAGTCGTGATTCAAATTAATTAAATTATACATAAACATTATATTTTTATTGAGGAAAACAAACAGTTCAAATTATCCAATATTTCCCCAAACAAAACAAAACAGATTTTCTTATTATTTTCTCCTTTAATTGATTATTTAGTTTGTGAAAAAAAGGTCAAAATCCTCAAAATTATTAAACATAAATTAAACATAATTAAAAGGAAAAGCAGCAAATGTTCACATTTGAGAAGCTGGAACCATGAAATGTGTTTGCCTTTAATTAAGAAGTCGATCCACTTATTGACTAATCTCTAATAGTTTCAGCTGTACTTGTATAAAGAGTTGGGGAGTTTAAGTTATAACAAAACATATTTGAGAAGCAAAAAAGTAGTAACTTAAGCTGTCAGACAACTGCAGTACAGTAAAACGTCCAATATTTGCCTCCAAGTACAAGTACCTCCGAGATGTACTTAAGTGGGCTACAGTACCTAAAAGTACTGGAACACAGGAAGTAGCCTCTGAACCTCCAGGACTAAAGTCCCGCTGGTTGCAGTTCTGGATATTTTGCTGCAGTGAAATCTCTGCACAACTGGTCTCACCTGCAGAGTCCATGAGGAGGGTGAAGAAGAGTTGAGCTCCGAAACAAAACAATCAATCAATAAATAAAAACTGGTCCCGGCGATGCGTTCACGGTCTGTTTGTTTGGAGCGAACACAAAAACACTAAACAGAAAGGATCAGGTGAACTCAGCGTTGACTAAAAATGATTTCCGCAGCCTCGACAGTCTCCACTTCATCTTCACTTTGCACCGACTTTGCTTAAATACCTAGATGACGTCATGACTCGTGCTCGTCAGGTGGATCATCCCGGAAGTGCGACAACACCTTCAGTAAATGTTAAATGTTTTGGCATCTGATACTCCAGATACACCAACTCAGATACTACTACAAAGCAGCAGCTCCACAGTGTAGAAATACTCTGTAACTAGTAAAGTGTGTATATATATATATTTTAGCTAGTGAATTTGTTATCAATACAATCTTACTGATATTAAATTTTGCGTTAAAAATCTCTATCTGCAGAGTTATTAAGTGAAAGCACAATATTAAATATAAATTACCCCCAAAAGATACTGAAGATACTGCAACATAAGCAAGACGTGATCTCCCCCCCCCCAGGTTTTATTTCTATGAACACGTTTTATTTATTTTTCTATCCAATGACAATGTATTTGTGAAAATTAACCAGCAGTTTTTGCTAAATATGTTTCTTTGTTAAAGTAAATTAAGGTAGAAATAAATATTTTAATGAGCATGTTATTGTGCTGAGCTGCCAGTTTATTACTGTTTTGGAGGCAGCTGTTTGGACTGTATTGCATTATACAGGTGTTTCTATTATTTTGTCCACTCCATTTATATCAGTGAAGAATGGCTAAGTAACACCTGTCAGTACGATACCTTCATGCAGGACTGATGAACTACATTAGTTGTAGCTAGAGTTTTATATAGATTATATTTAAATGCAATAGGTTAGTGTAAACAAGTAGTGATTGTTTTAATTATCAACTAAATCAGTTTATTATTTGGTCATGATGATAACTTGTGTGCACAAGATATAAGCAAATCTCTCCCACAGCCCGGGGAGATCCTATCACCACTCACTAACCCAAACACGTCCAGGTTACTGCTCCATCACACAAGACAAAGAAAAGCTGAGGAAACGTTTGGTATTTCTGCTTTAAAAAGTACTAAAACAATAAACCATTTAACATTAATTCATTCCATTCATGACTCATAAATTAATCAACTCAGGTCTGATTCTGACAGATATATTAAAAGTTTTATGTTGATCTGCAGTTAATCCTCAGCTGAGACAAACACGTTCTAACATGAATGAAACAGGACAAACAGATTTCTTCCAAATGTATTTTTATTAGCTCAGACTGAAATCTGCACAGTACAGGATCATATCTGTACTCGATCAACCGCCCAGGGGCCTCTGGAGGGCCGATAGGATAGTCTAAAGGGCCTCCTCGGCTCTCCTTCGTCTGAGGAAGAGGAGCAGAGGGAGGTGGCGTCTGTAAATATCTTTACACCACAGACGCGTCCTGTTCTGTTCCTTCCTCCTTGTGGAAATAAAAACAACAAAAAAAGCGTGTGGTGATGGCTGTGATGTCCAGCGTTTTCCTCCTCAGTCATCGTCCACTGTGGGTGTGATGGTCACGCCCCTCCTGATCTGCCCCCATCCAATCAGACTGACAGGAAGAAGGAGGAGAGGAAGCGATTAGACGACCACATTAAAAAGAGCATTTTACATCATAAACGCTCTGTTTGCTTCCTAATTACTAAAAATCCTTCTGTCTTCATCCCTAACGAGAAGCTTCCCGAGTTTGGAAACAGTTCAGACTTTTCCTGTTGATGTTGGAAGAAGAATTAATCAACTAACTGGCAGCAATCTGAATTCCACAAATATAAACACGATTTCACAGACGACTGACAGTTAAAAGTTAAAATCTAAAGGCCCATTTATACTCGTTTTTGGCCCTGTGTCGCTCTGCAATTACCCCGCCAAAACACTAGTTGGCGGTGGGGTTCCACTGTGCTGAGTTTCTTCTTCTTCTTCACCGGTGTAGGCTGCTACATGCAATGGAGACTGAACGTGAGCGCATCATGTTGCAGCTGGAGCTGATCGATGTTGAACAGCAGTTACTTTTAGTCAAGTTACTGAAACGCAGAAACGAGAGACGAAGTCGGAGGAGACGGTGCGCAGGACGCTTGAACCGGTCGAGGCAGAAGAAGAAAGACAAGCCAGAAATACAACAATACCAACTTGACCACAGTTACATGTAGTTACATTTTTGGGGAGGTGCACATTGAGCTGTAGATATAAATTGACCTTTAGCCGTGTACTGGACAGACTTTGCTCTTCAGTCGTCAGCCTGATTCTTACCGCCAGTGCTTCTCCACACGTCGACTCAGGGCGATCTTCTCGCCGACCTCTGTGCAGACCGGGTTGGTGAGGACGATCTTGGCCAAATCAGCCTTGACGGCGCTGACGCGGCCGCCTGTCGACAACGAGCCGATGTTGACCATCAGCACCTCGTTCTTAGACAGCTTCTGGACCTGCAGAGGCACAACGAGACCAAGAGGATCAGTTTCTGGAGGATCACCGTGTTTATGAGAGGACTGCGCGTTTGGTAAAAGCTGTCAGATCCTCCACATGCCAGCAAGAATATAACAGAGCCATTAAAACTGAAATGTCCTGACTCTAGATGACTGGGCTGGTTCCTCACAGCACATTAATCTCTCCTCTAAAGGCCGTTTCAAAGGCTTGACGGTCCAGGAGCTTCATGTTTCTGCATCTTCACTCTAGTTACAGCTCGAACATCGTTCCTGTGTTATAGTTCAGAAGGACTACATGTCCCATGATGCCATGTCGCCTCACCTTGGCAGCCTTCTTGTCCCCCTCTGTGCGGACTCCCAGCAGCCTCCTGAGCAGGAAGTAGGAGATCTCCAGCTCGGTGAAGATCTCTGGCAACGCTCCGACGGCGCCCAGCACCTGACCGACCATACGATCCGCACGGCACAGCGTCGGGTCGATCTTAGTTCCCACGCCTGCACACACACACACACACACACACACACACACACACACACACGGTTTACTTACTTTAGGATATTATATATTCAGCTCACATCTCTGTGAGTCAGTGTTTTCATGTCTGAATCCAATGTGGTCTTGATTTGTTTTGGGCCAGAAGTAAGCTGGTTATGGATATCGAGGTGGCTTTAACCAGGCCAAGAACAAATTTAGGAAAGCTAAACAATCATAAACCCAGAAAACATCAGCGTCAGATCTGCTCCTGCAGCAGCCTCATGTTAAATGACGGCTATCATTAAATAATATGTCTTAAGTTCCAGGTTTTCTGAGCTCCATTTAAAATCACTCAAAATGTGTGATGAGTTTAGGGACTGCTGCGTCTGGATTTACTCTTTTAATATCTTCCACATAAAAAGGATCAATCCAGGTTTAAAAATGTGCGTGTGGACGTACCGATCAGGCCTCCGGGCGCAGCGTACTGCAGGTCGTTGTGCTCAGCAAACAAAGAGACGATCTTGGAGAAGATGGGTTTGCACATCAGCTTCCCTTCGTGGTCTTTGGATACGATACCTGGCCGCACCTCGAGCTCCTGACCCACCTGCAGGTCGCGCACACATTAATCGCACTTGCAATTATATCAATATATATGATAAAGCGATAACACTCTGGTCATGTGACACATGAGACTAAAGCCGTGTGCAGAGGAAGCATCATCTTGGCACATTACTTCGTACCTCGACCTGCTGAACATCGGCCTGAGGCTCGACAGAACCGGATACTGTGGAAACTTTATCAAACAGTCAGTTGTGTGGGACTATTTTAGTTTCAGGTATTGTGCAAAACCTGCCTTGCTATCATTGTTAACCGGAAAGGGATTACCGAAGTAAACGTTTGAAAGCATAACTCCATATGAACGTCACAATATTTCAAAACAGCATGTGGAAATTACTCCAAGCAAGATAATTCATGCATCATAACACACAGGCCCACAGGACGTATGTATGTTTAATGTATCCAATATGGTGTTGGTCATACTATACGATGATTTGTTGCTTGGCTTTTCGGAATAACACAGAAGATAAAGGGCTCAAAATTTGATTAATGCTATGTCAGAAAATGTAACTCACTCAAGATAAGCGAGTAGTGAGGAAAAACAACTCGGTAAGAGGCAAGACAGGAAGTAACCAAACATCCACCCTCTCTGATTATAACAGAAGACAAGTGCTGTGAACAGCTGAAGTAACAATAAAACCAAATCTCACCTTGAGCACGCCCTTCAGGATACTTCCTCCTGCTACGCCTCCTTTCAAGTCATCGACTTCACAGCCGGGCTTGTTCACATCAAAAGATCTGATGACTAAAAACACAGGAGACGTTTACCGGGTTTCATTTAGTAGCATTCAGATTCACTCAGACAGCGTTTTGTGCTTCACAGCAAACAAACAACGAGAGTGTGATGTGAGGTTAAATACACGATGAGGAAAACATGAAGCAGACACAACAGGTCACAGAGTGAAGGTGTTTTTTTTACCGATGAGTCTGGGCTCGGACGTGAAGTCTCTCAGGGGCACCGGGATCTTTTTGACGATGTACTCACAAACTACCTCGATGTTGTACTTCAGCTGTGCGGAGATAGGAATGATGGGAGCGCCCTCTGCTACTGTGCCTGCAGGACAAACATCACACACAGCGTCAGCGGAGGTTTAGAGAAAGTGACCTGAAGAGGAGGAAATGTAAAAAGCTTTTTTGAAGAAGAAGAACCCCTGATGGACCCGGTTCTTTAGAGAACTCACCCTGGACGAAGGCGAGGATCTGCTCGTACTGCTCTTTGGCCTGGCTCTCCTTCACCAGGTCGATCTTGTTCTGCAGGATGAGGATGTGCTTCAGCTTCATGATCTCTATGGCCGCCAAGTGCTCTGACGTCTGGGGCTGAGGACACGACTCGTTACCGGCTGGCGGACAGAGACGACAACAACAATCAGGTGACTTCTAAAGAGCGAACTGCGAGTAAATAACACACACATTAAGACAAGGTTTGTGCTGTTGATGGGAGTCAGAGACTCACCAATAAGCAGGAGGGCTGCATCCATGACGGCGGCTCCGTTCAACATAGTTGCCATCAAAATGTCGTGACCGGGACAGTCGACAAAGGACACGTGTCTGGAGGAAAGAAAAGTCGCACAGATGAAGATTTTACTGTGAAACTGATTTCAGCAGGATATTTGTTTAACAGCTTAGACCTGTGCCCTCTCTCTCTCTTCAGGCTTACCTGACCAGTTTGAAGTTGCCCTTGGTGCCGGGGATGTCTGAGGGAAACTCATCGGGAGTGCTGCTGCCACACGACCTGTAGCACTCTGGCCGGGGACAGCTGGGGTCGTCCAGCTGATAGACCTACAAAAACATGGACGCGTCGGGTCACTTTAAATACACTCCATCTTACTGGTCAGAAGTTTTACTTTAGAGAGAAAGTGATTATAGGAAGTAAGACTTGGGCATTCATATGAAACTGAACTCCTTCCAAAGTGTCAAGTTTCTGCCCTGTTAGTGCTCCCCTGTGAGAGCTTCTTTATTTAAGCGATTCAGTATTTTTCTACCCTGGCTAGAATTATTATGTACTGACAAGTTTTACCATTTTTAATCAGGGTTCCCCGCTCTTTTCTACAGATAATTTTCCAGGACTTTTTCAGAGATGATCTAGCTGGTATGACAGACAGGGATCCCGTCATGTCCTTCCACTGTGGAAGTCTGATTTTAAAGACGTGCAACGGTTTAAAACAAGTTGAAAAGAAAACGTTAATATAGATACCAACTAAAAACTACCACAGTTACCAGCCAGCGGTGACTAATATTTACCTTTTAAGGATAATACAACTTACATTATTGAGAGTTTCGGTCACTTGAATTAATGTCATCCAACCTGTGCTACCCCGTGACGTGACTCAGTGCCTCTTACCTTAGCGTTAGCATATCCTAGCTTGATGGTGATATTCCTCTCCAGCTCGTTCTTGAACCGGACAGTGTGAACACCAGAAATGGCCTTCACTACTGTGGACTTTCCATGGGCCACATGACCGATGGTGCCTGAAAGAGAGAGAGAGAGAAACGTCACAACAGGCTGTCCTCGTCTGCCACAAGAAAAACATGCTGAAAGACATGAAATCTGATTCCCGTACCGATATTGATGGTGGCCTGTCTGCTGATGATCTCTGGAGAGAGAGGCGTCAAGGTAGACACATCCTGCCAAGAGAACAACTCATGTAAAACCCATCACACACTGAAAACCAACACAGAGCTGCTGCACCCCCGTCCCCTCTTTAATCCTGGAGGAGAATAGAAACAAAGGCAGCCGTATGACGGACATGCAAACATTGACTCTGCAAACATGTTCGTGCTGCAGCAACATATTATCTGCTGTATTTTCGATTAATCGTTTCAGTCATTCTACTGTGAAACATTTGCTGGTTTCATCTTCTTAAATCTGAGGAACTGCTGCTATATTTTGTCATTTATGACAGTAAATGAAGAGTGTTTGGGTTTTAGACTGTTTGTTGCACAAAAGAAGCAATTTGAAGACGTCACTTTGGGCTCTGGAAAATTGTTATGAGCCTTTTTCACATTCACATTTGAAAGACTAAACGATTAATTGTGAAAATAATTGGTAGATTTGTTTGTTGCTGCACTTTCTGTTTGTATCTCACATGTGGTTTGGCTAACCGGTTTACAGACATGGATATGGGACAAAGAGTCTGACATTCTGTTGCATCAGCAACACCAGACTTAAGCTTTACATTTCATAAATATGCACTAGCTTTATAATAATCACATGAAACTTGGCTGAAGTTAGTAAACTGATAAAACAACAAAGCAAGCTGTCTCTGTTCTATTATTTACTTTAATGACTACTGATTAAAATGAAAACACACAAAAAGGTAGCGTAAGCATCATTAACAACCCCTTCAACCAATAACATATTTAAAACTCTACTGTATCGATTACTGATGTAAAGAAAAATAAAAAATAGATGACAGCCCGCAAAAAGAGGAGTTTTCCTGAACACGACCTCTGCTCTCATCACCGCAACGAACCCCATTCACATTTTAACAGATTTAACATAAACTTAGCAGGTGAAGCTAACGTTGTGATCACACCAGGGTTAAAACGGATATTATTGACGTAGAACAAAGATGGCGACCACTTCGGCGCTGAAAAACACACGATACATCCAAAGGGCGGTGTGATTTTTAAACGTTGATCAAAGTGAGTGTAACGCTAAGACATAATGTTTGTTAGCAGAGAAGCGGCTGTCTGCGGCTCCCCGCCCCGCCGGGGCCTGCCGTCATGTGCCGGCGCAGAACCCCCGGCGACCGTTAGTTGAATAAAATCACCTTTCGTGAAACAGTTTTGGCAACACGACGCGCCAACAGCCGCCGACACACCAGCACTATGCTGTAAAAACGATTAACCGGACACTTACCAGAGAACTAAGGTCTTGTCTGGCCAGATGCGGCTGACCAAGCGTTGTACCAGACTCGTCGCCCGCCATCTTGAATGAAAAGGGTATGAAGGAGGCGGCTCCGGCGAATGCCTGATCAACCGATGAAGACTATTTTTTCCCCCCTTCTTCTTCCAACAACCGGTTATCTCATAAAACTATGTTTACTTTCTGTTGTGTTAGTAGAAAACCACAAGTGTTTGTAACAATACGCTTGCTATATATTTGTTAGTTTAACTGACAGAGACGTACTTTTGCAACTCGGGTGATTCATCCAAGTAAAAGCAACGAGGGGTCCTTTCACAACGGCTGATGCAATTTATTTATCTTTTTAATGTAAAATACATTTTACGTTAAATAAAATGGCTACTGTTTATATGCCGCCCATAAATGTTTACTAACGAACCGGACACACGTTTTTGACTTTTTTCTACTCCAAAAAATGAATAAATATATTCTTATCCATGTGTCAGGTCCGTCGTTGTTTAATGACGTCATCAAACGGCTCTGTTATCTGTTTTGTAGTTCTCTCTGATCCCAGGACAAATCTTTAGTTTACTGGGCTGCTTTTTATTCATTACACTTCTGTCATATACTGTTTGCACATTTACACACTCCTGTTTATATTTTCAGATTTTTGTATATTTTATATTTGCCAACTTTTTAATTATTATTTCAATTTATTTAATGCCTTGATTATTATGTGAACAGCTGTAACACAACAATTTTCCCTTTGGGGATCAATAAAGTACGCCGTTTATGATTCTGATTCTGATCTGATTTCCCCCAGGGATTGATAAAGTCTTGTTCTAACCTATACTGTTTTAGTAAGTTTCAATTAATGTTATCAAATAAATATAGGGGAATAAAAAGTAGAATATTTGCTTCTGATATGTTGCATTTTATTTTGTATATCTTGAAAATGTTTAATCTCTTTACTTTATATTTATATTTCTATATTTATGTTTATGTAAGCACCAATATACCAAGGCGAATTCCTCATATGTCAAAATGTAGCCTACCAGTAAATAAACCTGATTCTGAAAGTACCATAAAATGAAATAATCATGTAAACAGTGGTGGGCAAAAGTATACAGATCCTTTACTTAAGTAAAAATACTAAGACCAGACTGTAAGAATACTCTATTACAAGTAAAAGTCCATCCATCCATCTTCATCCGCTTAACCGGGGTCGGGCCCGGGGATAAGTAAAAGTCCTGCATTGAAAATGTTACTAAAGTAACACTATGTAAGTATAATCAGGAAAATGTACCTATAGTATTAAAAGTTAAATTACTCTTTGCAGAAGAAATTATTATTCCTCATGCATTAATGGAAAAGCAGGACTTTATTGCTGTAGTTGTTGAGCTAGAGCTCATTTTTAACTATTTTGTATCAGACTGCAACTAATGATTATTTATGGTTATATCTGCTGATTATTTTCTCCATTAATCGATTTTTAAATTCTAAAAACAGTGAGAAATGCCGTCATGATTACCCAGAGCCCAAAGTGACACCTTCAGTGCTTGTTTTTTGTCCGGCCAACAGTCCAAACCTCAAAACAATAATAATTTAAAGTAAAGGCAGCAAATCTTCACACTTGTAAAGGTGGAACCATAAAATGTTTTACCCAAAAAATCAAATCTATCCATCAAAACTATTGCCAGTTAAATCAATGTCAATCTAATAATCATGTCAGCTGTACTTGTATAAACTGTTGGGAAGTTTGATGTATTACAAAACATCATATTTTATAAACTCTTCATATGTTTTGTGTTTAAAAATCTTACTTTGTAAAGTAACTGAAGCTGTCAGATAAATGTAGTGAAGTAAAAAGTACAATATCTCCCTGTGAGATGTAGTAGAAGTAGAAAGTGGCATGAAAAGAAAATACTCAAGTAAAGTATAAGTAGCCTACCTCAAATTTGTACTTAAGTACAGTATTTGAGTAAATGTACTTAGTTACTTTCCACCACTGCAAGCAAGTACAAGAACCTCAGCCCTGCACCATAGGTGTCATTTACACAGGGGGACGCTGGGGACATGTCCCCACCACATTTTGAAATGGCTGATTTTGTCTCCATCACCTTTTGAAAGTACTTGTTATAAATGTTCTGAAAAATAGCTTGCACCAAGAAATGTTATCTAATGAAAATGCAATTTAAATTTGATCATCGGTGCCAACCTGCCCCTCCATCACTGCAGATCCATCTCACCCCGGACACAACCTGTTCCAGCTCCTCCCCTCTGGTAGGCGCTACAGAGCACTGCACGCCAAAACCAACAGACTCAGGAACAGTTTCTTCCCACAAGCCATCACTCTGATGAACAGCTGATTTCTGACTCACAGTGTCAGGAACAATTCCTGTGCAATAACCCATAATAACTGTGTTTACTGGCTAACATTTATTCACCATTCTCTGTTTCAGTGCTGTTCATACTGTTGTATTGTCATATTGTAGATACTGTATACCAATCCACCTACCTCAGGTCATTACTCCTGCACAAAATACTTATACTTATTTATTCCAGCATCCTTTGCACTATGCTTCTTTGCACTGTGTACATGTGTACATGTATGCATGTATATGTACCTGTATATCACATCCACCTCCAACATGTACAGACTCCTGCATCCTTTGCACTCTGCTCACTGCACCATTTGTCAAAATGTCTACATTGTTTTTGTTCATAGTGTGTATATTTGTGTTTTCTACACTGAAGTCTGTGTCTGACTTTATTTTATTCCTATTATTGTGATTTTGTATTTTTGTATGAGTAAGCACATCGTGAGCAATGTACAATTCAGGGTCAAATTCCTCGCATGTGTACACATACCTGGCAATAAAGCTGATTCTGATTCGGATTCAATATAGAAGAAACAAATGTGCATTGTCCAAAAAAAGCAACTTAAGTTCTTCTTTTATATTTTTATATTTATGACCTGCCAGCTGAATTTTTTTGTTTCCCTTTATATAAATAAAAATATTTCCACTGTAATTTGGAGCAGAAAATGTCTCCAGAATGCAGGATATTAAGTGTTTAATGCTCCAAATTACTGGGGGAGGACCCCCGACCCCCCACTCATTTCTTCTGCATTTATTATTTAAGTGTAGTGTTAAAAATCTTCTCGTTTTGTTCTCGTGCATTGTCACCTCTCGTGTGTCATCGCCCCCCTATGTCCCCCCCACTTCTGAAAGTGACGCCCTTGCCTACAGTACATGAGTAAATGTGAGTAAATGTGCTAGTTAGTGTCCACCGCTGCAATAAAGTACAAGTAGACCTACCTCAGACCTACAGTACTCGAGTGAAGGTAGTTTAATTACAGTCCACACAGCAGCTGACAGAGACACATCTTGAACACACACGCACTCTTTGCAGCTCCGCACACAACGCCCTTCAGTTCCGCCCAAAAGGGAAATGACGCCGGTGCAGAAAATGGCGTCCGCAAAGCCTGTGGACCGCTGTGGCTTGTTACCCGTTTAATTTAGAGCCGAGTGGGGGGTCTCTGCGTCTGGCAGGCGGACGACAACATGGCAGTGCACCGCTGCCGCCCGCTCTCTTGATTCCGGAATAAACCCCGCCGCTTCATGTCCGAAGGAGCCAGAGCTGCCTGGTCGAAGAGGGGTAGTGGGGATTCGCACCGCCGAGGTGAGACGGCTCACTGTTAGCAGCCGAGCTAAAGCCTGTTACCCCCGGTCGAGCGGTGTCGGATCCCCCGTAGCTCCTGTCACCGCGAAACGGGAGTCGTGACAGTTACGGTGGCTAGTCAGGTAGCTAGCTGCAGAGCACGATATCAGCGTTTATTATATTCACTTCTACGCACATAACCCAAATTAACTAGCTAAAAACACCTCCGGGTGCCGGAGTTGTGTGTGTGCTGGCTCAGCCTTTGTTTTGGGGCTCTAATCTGAGCATGTAAGGTCTCTGTAGCTGACTTTATTCAGCGGCTCTAATGGAAACTAAAGGAGGTAGCAGAAGGCTAACGTTAGCTTCTCTACTGCCCAGGTCAACGGTTAGTAAAGTTAGTCAGTTAGTTTAACGGTTACCCCGTTCTGTCAGTTAGTTTAACGCTTACTTCGTTCTGTCAGTTAGTTTAACGCTTACTTCGTTCTGTCAGTTAGTTTAACGGTTACCCCGTTCTGTCAGTTAGTTTACCCGTTCACGTTTCTGTCAGTTCGTTTAACGTTCACCCCTTTCTGTCAGTTCGTTTAACGTTCACCCCTTTCTGTCAGTTCGTTTAACGGTTACCCTTTCTGTCAGTTCGTTTAACGGTTACCCTTTCTGTCAGTTAGTTTAACGTTCACCCCGTTCTGTCAGTTAGTTTAACGTTCACTTCGTTCTGTCAGTTAGTTTAACGGTTACTTCGTTCTGTCAGTTAGTTTAACGGTTACTTCGTTCTGTCAGTTAGTTTAACGGTTACCCCTTTCTGTCAGTTAGTTTACCCGTTTCCGTTTCTGTCAGTTCGTTTAACGTTCACTTCGTTCTGTCAGTTAGTTTGTGCTTGTATGTTGTTTCTCAAATGTAAGTCGCTTTGGATAGAAGCGTCTGCCAAATGAGTAAATGTAGTTTAGAGGTTACTTTCTTTGACCCTTTCTTGCTAACGTTAGCCTTTAGCGCTGACCAACGGCTGTCCCCCCTCTCTCAGTTCTCATGGCTTTAATGTGTCTGACACAATAAATAAAACATCTAAATTTATGACGAGTCGCTTAGTTAAAAATGTTGTTTTGGTGAGTGTGAGCTGTAGTAAAAGTGAACTCAGCAGGTGTTTGTGAACGCAGGGAGAGTTAAGCTTATTGCCAAGTGAGCTGGCTCCAACCTGTTGTTGTTGTTGTTGTTGTTGTTTTGTCCTTTTTCACCCAGAGGTAAACCCAGGTGAGGTCAGTCAGGGTGAGACTCCCTTACACCAGACTACACCGGGATTTACACGGATTTAGAGAGAGACTGTGAAAAGTAAAGTAAGAGGGAGTTTTACTGCTGTTACTTAACTTTCCACTGTTATGTTTTGTTTTGAGAGAGGCCGGGGATTAATGCCAAAGGAGTACTTTTATTTAACTAGTTTTCAAGTGAGAGATAATTAATTATAGTTTTATTATTTGGTGCATAATTGTGGTCATTCATCAGGTAAA